CTTCTTCTTCTTCTTCTTCTTCTTCTTCTTCTTCTTCTTCTTCTTCTTCTTCTTCTTCTTCTTCTTCTTCTTCTTCTTCTCGCGATAGTACGTGCTGCAGCGGCCGCCATATTCTGTCAGTATTTTGATTCGTATCTGCTGAAGTGAGGAAAAAGAGAAAAGTGACGGGCTGCTGCGGGGAGGGGGGCAGAGGACGAGGAGCTGTCAGAAACTTCTCCCTGAGTCTCTGTCAGACCAGGAGGGCCGAGGCTGGCCCTTTTTCCTGCCTCTGACGCTGTTCCGGGGACACGAAGGCCCGGGGCCTCGGTGTGGTGGCTCCTCTTCTCCCCGCTCGGCTGCTGCTCTCAGCTCCGCGGCCCTTCGGAGCTCCGGCGGCGGTGTCAGGTGTTGAAGGCGCCCCGGGGAGCGGCGGCGGCTGAAAGGTAAGTTTTATTACGTATTCAGAGTGGGGTTAGTTAGCACCGAGCTGGAGCTTTACTGGGCTTTGGTTGAAACAAACAAAGCTGCGGCCAGTGGACCAAACTGGTTCAGATGTGGAAAAAGTTTTAGCCTTCAACAGGTAGCTAACTGGATGTGAGCCTCATGAGCTAATAACTGAGTAAAGTTACAAACTTATTATCTCTAAGGCCTTCCTGTGCTTTAGTGGTGATTATTGGTTAGTTTTATGAACTTAATACGATGTTTTGTAGTCCATCTTGTTAGCTTAATGCTACTTTTTCCACTCAGCTTTTCTTCGTTGAAACGTCGCTAAATTAACCAGTTTAATTAACATTTAATCATCAAACCGTGGATTTATTAATCCTCCACACGTTAGTTCATCACCTCACTCACTTGTTTGTTTGCTGAAACACAGTGTTTATTTGGTTTAATAAAGACTAAATGACTGCTGTAACATGTTGTCCCAGTAAATAATTCAGCCTCAGAGCTTTAAAGCCTCCAGTGGTTCTGCTCAACCAGTTAAACTCACAAACTGGGTTTAATTCAGTTAAATGTTTGTTTTTAATTCAGTTAAATATTTGTGACAGTTAAGACTGAGAGTGATTTAGTTAATCTGGACCTTTTTGCACACCTCCAATATGACAGCTCAGTGCTCTGATCTGATGGTTCAGAGATAAGCTGTCAAAATGCTGCCTTCTTTTGTGTGTGTGTGTGTGTGTGTGTGTGTGTGTGTGTGTGTGTGTGTGTGTGTGTGTG